GTATTTGTATTTTGATTTGCCAAATCCTCAGAACTGTTACAGGATGTGTATTTTGTAAATTGTATAACTTTTTATTTTATTATATTTTTTTATCATATAACTTTTTTTTTACTTTAAATACTTTTTTTTGCATGTAACATAATATGTAACATTAAGCTGTCAGTGGCTCTTTTCTGCTGTAACAACGCACATGTCCCCTCTGTGGGACTAATAAAGGTTTTCTGATTCTGATCTGATTCTGATCTACGATGCTCAACAGCTCGCTTAACGGAACTTTGACGCTGGTATCAGTTTGGTTTCCCACCAATCACGGGAGTATTGTGTATAGAAAGTGTTGAGTTATATTTCTCGCGCTGCCTTATATCCATGAAGGCAACATGACAGAGGGAGGGCTGTCACTCAGGATGCAAAACTACTCTTTGGTAAGCCCCGCCCCTCCCCCCCCCACCAAGCAACATCAGGGCCAAAAGTTTGAGAGCGAAAAAAACGGTGAAACCTGAAAAAACAAGATTTGAAACTGAAAAAATAATTTTTTGGAATCTGAAAACGGAAAATCTGCAACTGAAAAAAAGAAGGATTCAAATATCAAAATATGTATAAAAGGAGTGGAGCTGTCTTTTTATGAAAAGTAATTAAGCTCGCTCCGACTTCTTTCTCTCTTTTTTTATCGAAAAAAGCGAACTATTCAGTCAGACAGCAATTTATTATAAAAGTAAAACAAGCACAATTTCAAGCAGTTTATCCAAAATCCAAGCACTTTATCCAAAATCCAAGCACTTTTCAAACCTTGAAAACACCACATGAAATTTCAAGCATTTTCAAGGATTTCCAGCACCCGTACGAACCCTGTTTTTAAGACCCCGCGGACACCCTGTTAAAACAACTTTAATTTAAATCTTCAGTGGATGCCTCCCTTTCAGTGGCAGGAGACACGTCTTAACCACAAATTAAAAAAGCCTAACAAAATATGGATTGAAGCAGAATACAAAATAAAAACATGTAAATTTTGGAAATGCTTATTTGTATAAAACTCCCCCATTACTTGGACTATTCCTCGCACCCCATAACATAGGGCCGAATGGTTTCAACCATGTTGCAGTACTAACGTGCACTTGTTGTAGTAGCAGGATCGCAGGACACTAGTAACATCGGACAATTGAGAGTGTTGTTAATTTTGTGTGTTGTGGACTTGCGTGTGCGTGCATGAAAATGTAAGTGCATATATTCTTGCCTAGTTCTGTTATTTGTGGGTTAATGTTCATAATACAGAGCTTACTCTGCAATAGAAGGCAGTTAGCAATAGCCGCTAACTTTGCCATGCTGACTATGGGACAGCACGAGGTGCTGCCGCACCAGGCACGCTCCCTCACACTGCATAATGAACAATGTAACGCCAAGTTGATGCAGGGGCCAATGTATGCAGTGTTCTTTATATTGTAGTCATTATAGAGACTTCATTGTGTGCATTCCTGTATGTTGTTCATGCGTGATTGTTTATAATAGTTAATTACTTTATGTAATAACCATAGACTGTATATATAAATGGACGTAGGGTCCGTGACGTCACCCATAGGATTCTGCAGAGTTGCCGAGAAGCCCTTAGTAGGCGGAGTCGGCCACTAACGGCTCGACAGTGACGTCTGAGTCTAACTCCCGCCTGCTCCAGCCTGCTCCAAATAAGGGCAAAGAGGCGGAGCCGAGGCGGGACCTGCTGCCTCCAGCTGGGAAGTAACAGAGCTAGCTCAAGCTAAGAAGCTAAGCTAACATGCTTCCCCATCAGCACACTGCCGTCACATTTTACGTTTCTAAGGTAAGCGGACATGAAACTATTCAGCAAAACTATAAATAATAATCTAAGTTATTGAGTTTTTAGCATAATACTTCAGAATCTTAAAATCCCTTAACAATGAAATCCCAGTATGCAATGTGCTAAATGCAACACTGGAATCAAGCAAATATTAATATGTTTGTATGACATTAGTTATTTATATTTTGCTATCACTTAATTATACGTTTAATACATTTAAGTTAAGCTAAGGTGCATGTGATGGTAGCTAGTTAGTGCTCTTACCTGTGAGGCCTCCTCCAAACCGCATTATAACCAGACTGTATCATTAAAACTATAAGTACCAGTTCTAGATCCTTGACTTTAGACAAACAATACAAAAGACAAAATGTATTTAAAGACCAATCTTTATTTGAAGGTGCCTCTTAACCTGAGATATTAGTTATACAGTAATAGTATTGACAATCTAAAAAAACTGAGCAACTCAACAGTCAACTTTATATTTCTTATTGTCTAAAGCATTTATTATTTTCATTTTTCCCCTCTCATATTCAGTGTGGACGGATTGAGACAGCGTGGTGTCCAGAGAGCTGCAGAGACTTCAGGGAGAAACCTCCGTGTGATGGACGTCCAGTCTGTTGGTTTGGAGAGGACTGAGGGGCTTTCCTCTGTGAGGAGGATCAGACCTGATGGAGGAGCCCATGCTGGGCATAGCTGATACCACCTGATCAGGCCTTGTCTGTCACTTTATTTGACTAAATGTGTTTACTTATAGATTTAATAGGTTTACACCTTCTGTCCATATGTGCTTTTTTATTTAAAACATGTTTGATTAACTTTTGGTTCAGGTTTCAATAAATTGAATTTGTATTTGCACTCCTTTTGTCCATTATTCTTACTGAAAATGTTAGATTACACATTCACATCTGACTGAAGATTGGCCCCATTTATTTGCGTTGCAAACTCTGCGGTACAAGGTACATGTTGTGAAGCTCATAAAGTGAGGCAAATAGAAATAATCAACTGATGGAGTGTAGATGTGGAAATAGGTGCATTCGATCAGCTGACTTCACAATAAAAGTAGTTTCTTAGTGAATGTCCTGTACTGGTCTTAAAATCTCATAACATCAGCTTTTAATTTTCCTCTTGGATGTTCTTCTTGACCCTCAGAGAAGGAGAAAATGTTGAGTCGTGTCTTTCAGGCATGTCCTTTCCTAACAAAAATTACAGGAAACATAAAACATATTATTGCAGAACAAGTGTGTTATTTATGAAAGAGGTGTGCTTGTGTTTAGGGGCTGTAGATATAATTATTTTGTAATTGTAATGTTTTATTTTATTTCAACAGTGAGCTACAAAGACAATCAGATTATGAATGAACAGTATGAAATTCATCAACATTGAAATATATTTTATTATCAAAATAATATTGAACTGTTATCAAAACTTAGTGCAACTGTAGAAGCTTGCTCTGTTCTCTCACTGAAATCATAACTTTTACCACGTTTTTTACAGACAATATTGAGAGATAAATAGCAGTTCTCACTAATAGCTTTGCCTTCAATACCTTAAATTAGAAAGCTGACTTGCTTGTTAACATTTAAATGTAACCCTTTGCATGGAAAAAACCCTCAACTTCACTGATGTGTAGGTGATCTAGTATTTAGTATTGTTTAATGGAATGTATATCAGTGTATTAAAGTCAATACTTCATTTATTTAAACCAATATCTTTCTTGATTCTTTGTACAGTATGAAAAAAGAGTATTTGTACCTGTGCTGAAGTTCACTGCTGTGAGGAGTCCAGTTCTGTCTCTCACTCTCTGGTCCATCCTGCCCGCATCACCTGTAAACTTTAAACAAACAGATATATATGTAAAGAACCATGTGTACAAACAATATAACTTATTCTCTTCTGTTGAACATGTTGGATTGTGTATTGTCCGAGTCAGGGTTCTTTTTATTTTACTGTAACTTTGGAAGTTGTGTTACCAATGCTGTTGTGTTACTGTTTATTTGATACCAATTTGGTAATGCAATTAATAAAAACAACAACGTTTGGGTTCGTTCTTCAGATGACTGTGACGTTAACGTGTAAGCTCAATAATGAACTCCAGCTCAACCAACCATATTGTAATATCTAAGTAATCATCTTGAAAATATGACATTAATAATTGTAATATACACACATCTTATTGTGAGGTTGATTTCACATACACTACTTCGACGTTAGCTTGTCTACATACTTGAGCATAGCTACCACTCGCTTACACGCAAACCCAAGCCTTAACATTCATTACGTATCATAAACACATAAATAAAGTACTCGAATTTCACTTACCGCAAAACGGCATTCATGCACCGTCTGTTTTAACCGCAGAGCGAGTCACAATAGTCCGATATATAAGCATGAAGAACAAACAAACACGGCCGGGATCAAGTTGTGTTCCCTGGATGAACTGGGCAGGCAGTGTCCCTGTAGCTTCACGGACGGAGCAGCTAGCAGAGAGACAAAAAGCTAACAGCAGCAGTCACCTGACAGAGCTGTCACTCAATGTGACCACGCCCTAATTTATGCAAAAACTTTAAGACCTAATATAAATAAAAGGGTCGCGTTAGAAAACAATTCACTCACAGATTCATAATCACGAAGGTGGAATCTAACTATATACATAATAAAATGTATGGAGCCAGGGCTAGAAACGTTTTTTTTCTGCTGTGAAAATGGGCATTTTAACATTGGGGTCTATGGAAATTGCTCCTTTCTGCAGTCATCGCCTATCGGCCAATATATGAACTGCAGTTTGTGGCACTTCCGTATTGGCGTCCCGGCTCTTCCCCAGAGTTTGCCGCTTGGTAATAACGTGTCACTTCTATTGCCATTCTGTTGCGGCCTTTGGCCAATAGAGGGCAGCATAGGCCAGCTAATTGTGCCATTTCTTTATCCACCTAATTTACTGTGTAACAATGTCACTGGTCATTATCCCTCTATAATACATGTTTATTCATACCTGTTTATCTTTATATTACAGATACCACACCCATCCAATTACTATTGCATGTACCATTTACTACCCTGGACAATTAATAAAGTACTTAAATTGGAACAGCCTGTGGAAAGCCGTTCTTCCTCGCACGTCTGTCGCCAACACCTTCTAACAGAGGACAGGAAAATCTAGCTGCAACACGACCCGTATATTTTGCACGCCGTGTTCTCAACAAATGGTCCTTCGAGCCGGATTGTGTTGACAGCTTTTCCTAATGACGACATCATGATGAGGAAGAGGAGCAAGGTGCTCGTCCTAGACGGACCCACAGGGTCCCAGGACATCTAGAGGACTATGTTCTGGCTCATCCACCCCGACGGCTTGTTCCCCCTACGTCAGAGTACATACAAAGCAGCTACTTTGACTATCAACCAGGGTTGAACTATCAAACATCCTCACCAGAACGTCGCTGGACTGAAATGAGAGAAGACCATGAAACGGACCGATTACGCAGAATGGAACAGTGTGTATGGGATGTACAGCAGCAGGTCAGGATGTTACAGAGCACACTACAGATGTCGATGGAGCCCGGTAGGGGTACGCCACATGCTCACCAGCTTACGCCTGGACGTGCTGTTGGTCCGCCTCTCCTCTATTCAGACATCAGACGACCTGCAATCATCACTGATGAAGGCCGTGTGGATATGCCTCCACCTACATCACCTACCTCGATGCAGTCATTACCTGCTGTGTTCCACACATTGCCTCCAAATGTACATTCCTTCTCTTTCCAGCCACCTCGTCAGCATCAAGCATCCCTCCTCAGTCCATCACAAGCTCCAGTCCAACTGCCTCCTGGGTTTGTTTCCCCAGGACATCAAGTCCCCTCTCCTCAAATGCCTGTCTCAGCTATGCATCCCCCTCTGGTGCCACGGCCTGGATCTGCTCCAGCTGGCCTACCATATCCACCTCTGCTACAGCAACAGCAGTACAGGGAGCAGCAGCCTCCAGCACATTCAACTGCATGCCCATCACCTCCGTCTCCTGTTGTTTGGCAACCTGCTCCTCCTCAGGCACATCCAAATCCTATACAGGACCCACGGCACGGGCCTGCTATGATTCCCAGCATAAACTCACTTCCTTTGGGGCAGCCTCCTGTTCTCCAATCACAGCATCCCAGTCAGGCGGCTGGCCAACAGTATGCGTTTTCGCACTCAGTTCTCCATACGCATCTGCCTGACTCTACTAGCTATCCAAACTCTTTTCTCCAGCCAGTTCATAATAATGTGCCTATGCACACTCAGTCCCAGCCAGCGGCACATATGCCAAACTTGATGGAGATGGCCATATCTTCCTCATATGGTATTCCGCGGCCCAAGCTAATCAGTTTCACGACTGGGAAAGAGAGTGATTTCCTGCTGCTGAAGAAAGGGCTAGATGGGGTATTAGGTCCACACTATCACCTGTCTGAAGACTATGAATTCCAAGTGCTGTTAGATCATCTCAAATTCCCCAGCACTTTCCAAATAGCCAAGAGGTATGTCCATGACCCCATGCCATACACCAAGGCCATGCAGGCGCTGCAGCAGCGCTATGGACAGCCCAGACAATTAGTGCAAGGTGAAATAAACACCATCCTTAATGCGCCTGCTGTGAAATATGGAGATGCAGGGAGCTTTGAGGACTTTGCTCTGTCAGTAAATAGCCTTGTTGGTCTGCTTAACAGTCTGGATGGAACAGCTAAAAGTGAACTCTTGTGCGGCTCTCATGTGGATAGACTGCTTGCTAAACTCCCATCCTCATACAGGGACAGCTTTGCAGAGTATTGTCTAACAAAAGGCATTCTGCAGAGTGGCACTACTAACACCTACACACTCCCTGATCTTGCTGTGTGGTTAGAGAGGAAATCACAAGCAATCCAGATATCCAGGCGAGCTACAGAGAGCTACACTGCGGACAAGCCACATTCAGAGCACAAGGAGCAGAAACCATTCAAGCCCTCAAAACCTCAATCTTCAGTTTATTATGGCACTGATCGAGTCCCAGATAAGCGCTTTACTGACTCTAACACCTCTTCTTCTGGGAAGAAAGAGACAACTAAAGACAAGAAAAGGGAAAGTTTCAAGCCCTTTTGTCCCTTCTGCAGTAGTACAGAGCACTATCTGAGCTCATGCCCGGACTTCAGCAAGCTGACAACCACACACATAACAGCATGGATAAAAGACAATAAAAGATGCTGGAAGTGTGGCAGGGGGCATCAACCTGACAACTGCACTCTGAAGAAACCTTGTGCCACCTGTGGTGATCAGCATCTGCAGATTCTGCACGAGTCTATATCCAGCACAAATAAAAGTGTCCTTGCAGTGAGTACAGTATCCAGCGCCATCTACTTGGATCAAGTCACACACTCTGGCCGAGTGATGTTAAAGGTGGTGCCAGTGAAACTCCACAGTAAAGGCAAAACACTATCCACACATGCTATCCTGGATGATGGGTCCGAAAGAACCATCATTCTCCAATCTGCAGTGCACTACCTGCAACTGGACGGGGCAGAGGAGTCCCTCAAACTTCGCACTATCAGGCAGGAAGTGTCTGAGCTGCAGGGAGCCTCTGTGTCATTTGATGTGTCAGCACCAGGATGCCCTCAGGTGAGACATTACATCAGCCATGCCTTCACTGCCAAAGAGCTAGACCTTGGTAAGCAATCCTGCCCAATGGATCTTCTACAGCAGAAGTATGCCCACCTTGGAAACATTCCAGTTAAAGCATTCAAAGGTGTACAACCTATGCTTCTGATAGGCTCAGACAACCCACAGCTTATCACTCCAACATCGCCTATCAGGATGGGGCCCCTAGGCAGCCCTGTCGCTGTAAAAACAAAGCTTGGTTGGGCTATACAGGGACCAGCTACGTTCCTCCATCAGCCCGCTGAAGCCACCTGTCTTCACACCTCATCATTCCCTCTTCCCTCTCAAGACCTGCGACACATCGTCGAAAGACTATGGCAGCTAGATGTACTGCCATTTCGGCCTGAAAGAGAAGTCACTCGATCTAAGCAAGACAAAGAGGCCTTGGAGACACTGGGGGAAAAGACACTCCTGGATCTCTCTGCACCGAGTCAGGGGAACCAAGGCCCTGACCTCCTCAAACAGGCACCAGAATGTTGGCCTATTCAGCCTTCACAGAGAACAAGTGAGGAAAGTGAGTTAAAGAAGTCTACATTCTGCGCTCACGTTGCCGTCAACATTTCCCCTCTGCCTATCACTGCACAACCCCAGACGTGGGCAGAATTGGTGCACACCACATACCAGTCTGAACACGGAGCCAACGGCCCATCCATGTCAGCCTCACAGCGCTTAGACACCGAAGTTCAACTCCTGAGACAAGCACAGCTTGACAGCTTTCCGGAAGAGGTACATTCTCTACAAACCGGGAAGGAGGTGAGGACAAGCAGCAAGCTGAGTAACCTGTCACCAGAATATGACGCCAGTCTGAGTCTCATCAGAGTAGGTGGACGTCTTCGCAGGGCAGAGAATCTAGCAGCTGACACTCTCCACCCCATCTTGCTGTCACCTGATCATCCTACCACCCAGCTCATCATAAAGGATTATGACCACCGCCTACTGCATCCGGGCCCAGAGCGCGTCTTTGCAGAGCTGCGACGGATGTACTGGATACTGAAAGGCAGACAAGCAGTTCGTAAACATCAACGTCAGTGCCTGGAATGCAGAAAATGGCGTGGAAACCCTGTCGTCCCTAAAATGGCTGACCTTCCAGCCGCCAGGCTGCGTCTGCACCAGCCGCCATTCTGGTCTACGGGTGTCGACTGTTTCGGGCCCTTTAGCATCAAAATAGGCAGACGACAGGAAAAACGCTGGGGCATTATCTTCAAATGCCTCACTACCAGATGTGTTCACCTGGACCTGCTGGCCAGCATGGACACAGACTCTTTCCTTATGGCCCTGCGTCGCTTCATTTCACGACGAGGAAAGCCCTTTGAAATAATAAGTGACCAAGGTACAAACTTCAGAGGTGGAAACCGGGAGCTGCAAGAGGCTTTTGCTGCTCTGGAACCGTCTCTGCAAGAACAACTGAGTGAACAAAGTATCACTTTCCGCTTCAATGCCCCACTATCTCCACACTTCGGTGGCACCTGGGAGCGTGAGATTCGATCCGTCAAAGCTGCACTCCAGGTGATCCTAAAGGGTCAGATCGTGTCAGAGGAAGTGCTCCTCACCGTCCTCATCGAGGTGGAGGGAATCCTTAATTCAAAGCCACTCGGCTACGTATCATCTGACATCGCAGACGAGGATCCCATTACTCCAAATCTGCTGCTCATGGGGCGGCGAGATGCCTCTCTCCCTCAGGCAACATATGGCCCAGGAGAGCTTCTCAGCCGACGTAAATGGAAACACAGCCAAGTCATCGCAGACCAGTTTTGGACTCAGTTCACACAACGTTACCTCCCAAGCCTGCAGCAGCGTCAGAAATGGCAGCAGTCCACTCCGGATTTAACTGTGGGGCAAGTGGTAATGGTTGTAGACGCACAACTTCCACGTGCTCTTTGGCCTGTAGGCAGGGTTAAACAGGTGATACCGAGCCCTGATGGAAGGATCAGGGTGGCAGACGTGTCTATAGGAAAGCACACCTATCGTCGTTCGGTCGCTAAGCTCATCATACTGCCGGAGATGCCTGCTGAGGATAATACATCATAGTCACAGGGATTTTTACTGGATCCTAATGTGCTGCACACATTAGGGGGCGGCTATATAAAACTCCCCCATTACTTGGACTATTCCTTGCACCCCCTAACATAGGCCCGAATGGTTTCAACCATGTTGCAGTACTAACGTGCACTTGTTGACGTAACAGGATCGCACGGACAATAGTAGCATCGGACAATTGAGAGTGTTGTTAACTTTGTGTGTTGTGGACATGCGTGTGCGTGCATGAAAATGTAAGTGCATATATTCTTGCCTAGTTCTGTTATTTGTGGGTTAATGTTCATAATACAGAGCTTACTCTGCAATAGAAGGCAGTTAGCAATAGCCGCTAACTTTGCCATGCTGACTATGGGACAGCACGAGGTGCGGCCGCACCAGGCACGCTCCCTCACACTGCATAATGAACAATGTAACGCCAAGTTGATGCAGAGGCCAATGTATGCAGTGTTCTTTATATTGTAGTCATTATAGAGACTTCATTGTGTGCATTCCTGTATGTTGTTCATGCGTGATTGTTTATAATAGTTAATTACTTTATGTAATAACGTGTCACTTCTATCGCCATTCTGTTGCGGCCTTTGGCCAATAGAGGGCAGCATAGGCCAGCTAATTGTGCCATTTCTTTATCCACCTAATTTACTGTGTAACAATGTCACTGGTCATTATCCCTCTATAATACATGTTTATTCATACCTGTTTATCTTTATATTACAGATACCACACCCATCCAATTACTATTGCATGTACCATTCACTACCCTGGACAATTAATAAAGTACTTAAATTGGAACAGCCTGTGGAAAGCCGTTCTTCCTCGCACGTCTGTCGCCAACACCTTCTAACAGAGGACAGGAAAATCTAGCTGCAGCACGACCCGTATACTTTTGCACGCCGTGTTCTCAACATTATTCCTATTTTTCCAATATTTTTGTTTTACTTTTGGTCTTAACGCCGTAGTTATTGGAAATCACACATTTGGTTCACACCCATCACTGGAAAGCCCCATGAATGATAACACAACCACACAAACACCTGAATAATAGGTCTTTTTTATTAACAGACATCATGAAAATGTCGACAGTAACAAAATTATTTTAGTCCATTAAAAAAAAAAGTGGGTTTGGATTGACAAGACTCCTCCCACAAAATAACTTAATTAGGGGGAGGGTAATAAGAAAGGGGGGGAGCGGTTGTGCTCCAACAGGTAAATGTATCTGATATCTCCTTTCCTTGTATTTTACTCATCTTAATGCGTTAGTAAAGACCGGCTTACAGCAGCTCAGTCCCATGTGACCCTCAGACCCAACCCTGTCGAGGAAAGGGGAATATCCGACAAATTTCACACAGTATTAAAATGGGGGCATGCCACTAAGCAGGACCAGAGTTCCTGAATGATCTGAAAAACACTTCAGAGATGAGAGAGAAAGAATATCTGACTGCACGGTTACGTTTGTCTTTGTTCACTACCACACAAGCCACACACACCTACGTTTCGTGTTTCACTGGCATCATTAAAAAGGGATGGTTTGTGTTTTAAAGTAGGGTTGTATAAAAGTGTATTACCTACAGTAGATGACGATGTTTTCTCTGCTTAACCTTGCCGTCAAACGAGGATCCAAAGCATTTTTTGATGCTCTCGCCAAAGCCAGACGCCATTGATAAAAGCAGTGATTTTATAAATCGCAGAACAAAAAGGCGTTGCTGTTCTACTTCTTCCTCTATCAGTTAGTTATTTTGTGTAAATCGTGTGACGTCAGTGAATCCAAACTAACTATTTTAAACACCAAAGTCACAAAATAGCACCAAAAAAAACGTACTAATTGAGGCAGCAGAAAGCGAGAAACTTCTGTGTTCAGCGATGTAAAATAACTGGTTTCTGACAATGGAGTTTGGTGGCTTTTAGAGAGCAGTTACTGTCGGTCATACCTGAACTATGGATATGCATACAACCCACACACAATCTGAACTATCCCTTTAAGTCAGCAGGCTAATTTATTGATCCATTTCATCGGACGACCCCCCCGAAAAACAGGCTGGTAGGCAACACAATAAGCAAATAGAGAAACAGAAGCAGACACGAAAAAGTGAAGCACCATCAGAAAACATGATAGTAGTGAATTAAGAGAGGGGGGGGGGGTTATATACAGAGGGAGGGGCTGTCAGCGTGTGCCTTTGTCAACAATACAGGTCACCATGATTACATTTTTGCAAATCCAGCTGCTTAAAGAACATTAAAGGTAAAAGGGGTTTCCCCAGGAGGAGTAGTGTGAGAGCAGGGGCTGCACCCAGACCCCCAGAGTGGATCTGAACACACAGAGCGAGAGGGAGGAGGATAGAAAACGTCAACTTGTCCTGCAGGCATGGCTGAACTTTGCTCCCGCTACCCCTCACTTCCTTTGAGATAGACACAGGTGACAAGGGTGGAGGGACATGGACAGTGTTACGAGACAGGAGCCTTATTGTAGACACTGTAGTGTGTATATATATATATATTATATATGTGTGTACTGTGTATGCAAGGTGTGTGAATGTGTCTCCTCATGTCATGTGTGTGTTACATGTGTCTCCCTTTGTGGCAGCAGTGTGTTTAGGCCTCGCTCTCCCCCGCTGACGAGGTGTTCTGCACCTCCTCCTCCAGGATGGGCACGATCAGGTTGTCCTTGGACATCAGGTTGTCATGACGAAGCGCGTGAACCGGTGTACCTGGTAAGCAGGTAAATCCCACCATTTTGAAATAAATGTGTTTTAAAGTCTGAAATTCGGTGTGTTACTTTAAAGGTCTCTTATTATACTATTTTTAGGCATATATTATAGGTCTCAGATATATGAAAAACATGTCTATGAAGTGGTCCTTAGCTTCAAGCATTCACACTTCAACATGAGGCATGTTGTGAGTTAAGATTAAGCAATAAGGTTGAGGGAATATGATACAACCTTGAGAACAAAATACTGTGGTCACTACCGAAACACTGGATGTTTTGTAAAAAATAAAGTATATTGACTTATCAAATAAAATGATATGATACTGATTGGTTTAATGTATGTTCAATTTCAACAATCATCAACTCTGGAATCAATATGATCAGTGTTATGCATTTTACAAAGAAAGTTTGCATTATGATTTTTATGAATTGTATGAACTTTGAAATTTGATTAAAAATTCACTTTTATTAATTTAATTGTGAAAACCCTCAAGAAATATTTGTTAAAATACTATTTAGAGAAGGGAAGGTAAAACAATCTTAACAGGTTAATATAATACTTGTTTACTACAGTGTATGTACTATGTTTCGGTAGTGACCATTTTTGGTAGAGGAAGAACATTCCAATACAGTCTGAAAATGCGATGTAAAAATGTACGGTTCTTTTACGAGATATGTGTAAGTTAGATATGGTACAAAATATAAATGGACAAAGTTTTGGGAAAAAAACCTACAACATTTCAAAACATTTCCAACCTGACTTTGGTCCAATTCGGTAGAAAGGCCCATATACAGTATTGATTGTCCTTCCTCCTTATCTTCCAACCATTTGGACGCAAACTTGCATTTCCCCATAACGATGTTGTTTAACAACCGGCGTAAACGGACCTTCGCGCTCTATCAAGCAGTGAGCGTGAGATGTCCTGTTCAGATGACGTCAAATCCAACGGGATGCCATAAATAAACTACACAGAATCACACTACACACCTACGCAATGATTACATTCAGGCACACTGTAGAATACAACCTCTTTGGACAATTCATATACTTATTGGAAACAGGCTACAACACTTAATACCTTGGAAAATGCAGTTTAATACTTTTTAATAGCCTTCATTTTCGCTAAATAGATTTATCAACTTTTAATACTTTTTACAGGGTTCTTACACCTTTTCCAAAGTCAAATTCAAGCACTTTTCAAGCATTTTCAAGGTGCATTTCAAGCTTATCAAGTATCTTACAGCTGTTGTAAATTACATATTTATATACACATACTTATCCTCAAATGATTATTTCCCTACCTCACATTAAATCAGATGTTCTTTATTCTATAAACAACCAGATGTGTGTTTCGTGATAGCATTCTACATGAGGATGATACATTAAAGAAAAATAAAACAAAGTGTAATATTTCAAAATGAGTGACCCCTCTGTAAGTAGACTGGGCATCCCATATAACCTGGCTGAGCCAATATACAACAATCCGCCATGTAACTTTTCAATAGATTCTTTATTAACATGTTTCTAGTCCTTAGGTTGGCAGTGAACATAAGGCTCTCCCAGGTTAGGCCAAAGGGTGCATTATATGCACACATATACTGTATCAACTCAAATGTGAATTTTCCTTCACATTGAATCAGCAATCAGAAATTATGCAAATCAAATCAACTTTCAATCAGTCTTTGAGCTCCTTGAGTTGAAAAAGCAAACAGAAAACCTGCACAGAACACTGCACTGAATCATTCAAGGTAAGGCTAAACAGCATACGGCCTATCAGGGAGTGTCTTTCAGTTCCTTGAGTTTGTCCGTTAGCTGTCTCTCCAAAGTCTCCAGATGTCTTTCCTTTTCCTTAGCAGCTCTTCCAAGGCCATTGGGCTTGGAGATGAAGCTTAGTTTTCTTTTTATGCAACCGTGTACTACTTCTACTCCACTACAGTTCAGAGGTACATGGTGTACTTTGACTCCACTACATGTATTTAATCCCTTTAGTTACTTCACAGATGTGGATGAATGATGTGAAATATAATCAAGTGTTAAATCAGACTTTAGTTCCACCTGGAGTAAATTCACAAGCTACCCTGCAGTATACAGTCATTCAAACTAGCTGCACCTTTACCAGCTTTGAGAACACTTTAATGATCAATCATTATAAAACATATCATATATATTATTCTGAAATGGAGCCTCAGTGACCTTTGAGATATCACCCTCTTTCAATCCCAAGAAAACATTCCTCCTCAAAGACACATTCACCTCTGACAGACTTTCACTTGTGGACTAGAGTTATCCTGTGGATGAACTCAAGAAACACTATCTCCACCTACAAGTCATCCCCTTCCCTCTTTTCCAAAGTGCAGCCTCTCCTACTAATAGGTGCAGATAACTTTCACCTCATTACCCCAACCAAAAGAGTCTCTTTGGGTCCACAGGGGGCACCAATAGCCCTCCAGCTAGGTTCAAATACAAGATCTCACTCCTCACCCATCAGTGCATCCACGGGAACGCTCCTTCATACCTCAAGGAACTACTCTCCTCACAAACCTCCACACGCAACCTCCATTCTACAACCAACCATCTGCTTCCCCCCCAGGACCAAACTCCGCACCATGGGGGGGCTTTCTGTTCACCTGTGGAATTCCCTCCCAGACAAACTGAGGACTCCACAGACCACTGACTCCTTTAAGAAGGGCCTAAAAACCTTTCTTCTTTTTTTAAAGCTTTTTATTAAACTTGTGTTTATTTAAAAAGAGAAAAGAAAGTATATTATGCCCCTTGTAGCACTTTGAGATTACTTTTAGCAATGAAAGGTGCTTTACAAATAAAATGCATTATTCTTATTCTTATCATTAGGTTGGACACTCCAAGGGCCCCCCTATTCAGGAGCCATCGGATGCCCCCCAGAGTCTCTTCACCCCAACTGGAACCCCCGATGCCGAACTCAGTCGTCAGGTGGAGAAACTATGGCAGATAGGTGTCCTCCCCTTTCAGGAAGAGCAAGGCATCACCAGATCCAAGCGCCCCTCCAGTCCAGTGGACCCCCTTTCAGCAGCTCATTGACCGGGTCCTGCGTCCCACTCTCAGTATGCAGATATCCGGATGACTTCATCGTTCAAAGTGAGATGTTGGGGCAGGTAAAGGCGGGGCTCCAAGCTAACCTGAAGAAGAGTGAGTTGGGGTATCTGGGGTCGATGGAGTCTCCTCTTTGGTGCCGGGATGGGTGGGAGGTGGTGGTAGGTAGCAGCAGGTGTATGTGCAACACATCTTTCTTCTTAAGAAAAGCTTTAAGTACAATTGATTGTTTTTGTTCATTTAATATTGAGGAGAGCCAACAGGAAGTCTCTCATCAGATGCAGCCTTCTTCTTTATTTTCCAAAATGCCTCCACGCTCCTCTTCACGTCTCAAACTCGCCCCGTGATGAATAAACTGAGAACAAATAAAACCTGAGCTTGCAGATTTGTCTGGAACACCAGAAAAACGTGTTGAAACCTCAATAAATAAACTTCACACGGTACGACCTCTCACCTTTCTGTGTGTCTTCACTTCCTGTCACCTGAGAGGAGAAGGAGAGAGAGAGAGAATAATGATGATAATAAAACTAAGAGAAACAGATAATGATGAAGAGAGAAAGAAGAGTGTTGTTTTCCTCTGAGGTCATGCTCCATTAAAGAGTTTCATATCTTGATGAATGGAGGATATGGTTTCAGTACTCACAGGTCTTCTGGATTGTAGCTCTGATCGTCTTCTCTCCTAGTCCATGTCCGATCCTGTAGAGACGAACACAATCCAACAGTTTGAGATCCAGTTTAAAATAAGTGTTAGTTCTTTGAGTCAGCTTCAGAGTCCTGATCTCATGCTTTACATCCCATCATATCTTCTCTGCAAACACTACGACTGCCTGCCACAGCTCTCGGCTGCATGACAGGAAGTAACCAGTCATTGGTCTAGAACAGAGGGGTCCAAACTTTTTTCACTGAGGGCCACATACAGAAAAATATATAAAGGTCTGGGCCGCTCTCTAGAGGTTTACTGCCTCATAAGTTCAGTTATAAGTCAGACAACTCAATCAAATGAAGGTAAAGGATGCTTGTTACTTGAAGATGCTTTAAGAAACAAAACAGCTCTCAGCTCTCCAGAGGGTTTACTTTATTCTGTCAGCAGCTCATTCCTTTAACCTGTTCCACTCTGAGCCTGTTTTTCAGGTCTCAGGCTCGAAAATGACATTCCCAGAACAAATGACCATATCTTCCCTTCTAAAAGGGTTAAATTAATAATCTTTGTTCTCAAAGTAATGATAAACCTGTGAGTTGGATGTAGAAGTTTCAGAATCAATATAAATGTTTTTTATTTTAAAGAAAATTCAGATTTTACATAGTAAAAAACTGTAAATTATAGTGTCCGTCCAAAAATTATTTTTTACAGATAGTGAAAACTACCCTTGGATGATGGGTTAGTAGACTAAAAGCTTTAGGAATCCAAAGTACAACATATAATAAGTACCCTGTATCAAGATTGATGCAAAACAAGTGAAATTTGACCTTTTTAGAGAGATTTAGCCAAAAACCCCCACTTCTGGGGTCATTTGGGTGGATTTGACCTATCTCTGGCCCCCCTTGGTCGATTTGGTTGGTTGACATACCCTTGTGACCGTTAGAGCCAATAGAATCGAAGGGGGAGGCTCACATACACACACGTTGTAAAGAAAAAATGTGGGCGCTTCGCGTGTGGGAAACGAAAGCAAAGTGGAGGAATGTCTCCTTCTGGAGTTTGGAAACTAAAACGCAGTTGTATTACTTATGGATTATCAGAAATAATTTCAAAGAAGGCACAGACACATAGGATGAACCTATGGATTAACTGCAGCATCGTTTTTTTATCGTTTTAATGCCATTGAAGACCACTTTTGACCAAGGTAAGCCATGTTTACGTGTTTAGCTTCTTAGCTCCACATGTGATGATGTACGCTTTCGTTTATAGCGTCGCGAATGTTTATCACTGAGTGTTGAGGAGGGCACCGTTAGATTCAGTGTCTCCAGGACACCAAAAAAGAGTGTTTGGTTGTGCATCTAGGATAAGTAATAAGGGAGTTCTGAGTGAGTTTAAGTGCCGCATTACGTTCCATGTTTTCGCTCGTGGCTAATTCAGAGGCTGAGTGTTAGCATTGTGGGGTTTTTTTTGAAAAAAAAAATTAAAAAGATCAGTTAGCTGAGTTTCTTCCCGTTACATGGATATAACACATTCATAGTTTTATTCAATATTAAGATTCCTTAGACGTTGTTTCCTGCAAATTACGCATTTATCCGCCCGGTACCGGGCGGAAGGTGCGTAACAGGTTAAACAGGAGCTTCAGATTGATTATAATTACAGGAAATATGAAGGGTTTATTTCACGCTTCTTATAACAATAAGTTATTGGGCTTTTTTCTTATCAAGTTAGATTAGTTAGAAAATGTTTTCAGCTTTAATTGACTGAATTTATTTTAAAGGTGGGCTCTTATTAACACATGAATACTACTGTGTAATATATGTGTACATATATATTTAAGAAGTACAATACAAGACAAGCAGAAGTTTCCTCTGAGGGCCATATTTCATTATACTTTCAGAATTAGCTGAGGGCCGATTCCGAGGGCCGCATTTGGCCCCCGGGCCGCAGTTTGGACACCCCTGGTCTAGAAACTAAAAACATCCCATAAGAACAGACTACCTTTCCCACTCTTCTGTAAAACCCCATATGTCTGTTAGAGAGTTGATTACTAAAGTGTGGCTTTGCATTTCCAGCTGGCCTTCTATAGTTGATGGAAGAATGAAAGAGCCTGCAGTCAGTGGGTAACATCACTGATCTGTTTCCCCAGTGAGAGAAACACCTCCCTGTGGTTCATACAATACTGCTGAACCAGCAGAGACCCCTTACTGACCAGAGAGTCTCCAGTCTGCAGTCTGGACTCTCCAGAAGATCTCTCAGCAGCTTCTCTGAATCCTTCAGCTTGTTGCCTCTCAGGTCCAGCTCTCTCAGATGGATGTTGGACTTCAGAGCTGAGGCCAGAGCAGAACAGCTGATCTCTGACAACCTGCAGTCCATCAGTCTGAATAAAGAAAACATGATGAGGATACAAATCAGTTTATAATCAGATGTGTTACTCAACATTGATGAACTTTATTCAGACGTTATCGTTTACTAAATATTAAAAACATAGATTTACTTTTAACAACTAACATCTATTACAGTTCCTTTAAGAATCAGTCAACATGTATCTCTGCAGTTCTTACTGTAGTACCTACAAATGAAAGTATGAATAAAAGAACATTTATAACTTTATAGATGTAAGTTAATTATGTAGAAGAATCAGGTTGAATAACTAATGAAACATGAGATCTCCAGCAGTAACAGAGAGTCAGTGAACTGACCTGAGAGTCTCCAGTCTGCAGTCTGGACTCTCCAGAAGATCTCTCAGCAGCTCCACTCCTGAATCCTTCAGAGCGTTGTGACTCAGGTCCAGATCTCTCAGATGGATGTTGGACTTCAGAGCTGAGGTCAGAGCAGAACAGCTGATCTCTGACAAACTGCAGCGACTCAGACTGAATAAAGAAAACATGATGTAACTTTAGAAAACAATGTTCCTGTTTGAAATAACTCCAGGTTTAATAATCTGTTCAGAGTTAAACAGGGTTTTAAAGGTCTCCTATCATGCTATCTTTAGGCATATATTATGGGTCTCAGATATATACAAATATATAAAAACATGTCTATGATGTGTTTTGCTCAAAATACCAAACAAATCATGCATTTTAGAAATCCCTCATATCCCTCTGTTCCAGCTGTTAGAGAAGAGCAGGTTCGGGTCCTTAGCTTGAAAAAAGAGGAGGGGGAGCTAATGCCTGATCAGAATTCTACCAGCAGAAACTCAGCTAAATGCTGCCGTGATTAAACTCCATATCATGTTCCAAACCACATCAAGGATTCTCTCTGAAACAGTATGGAGCTCAAACTCTTTCTCTCTCTCAGGTTTACCACAAGGTGAGTTCCTTTTTATTTCCTGCTTCTTCACACATGCTCTCTCCAGTACAGGTTAGCTCTGAGTGTTAGCATGCTAATGTAAACACAGACCATATTACTTCCAGAACACGTCTCATTGTTTCTGACAGCAACGTTTCTGATTGGCCCGTTGCTGTAAAGCCCGCCCACATTTTAGTAATGCCGTCATGACGCAGCAAATCTGGATCAGCTCCGTTGTTCCCCCGTTTTTAGAGATGTGGGTACGGAGGAAAAGAGAGAGGGGTTTGTTTCCTGACACTTTGTGAGTCTCCTGACACCGGGGACACATGGTGATGAAGAAAAGACATCAGAAAGTGACTTTTGCATGATAGGAGACCTTTAATCTCAGAGATGATGTAGAAACAATCCATTGATAATCTGGAACTTTAACTTTGATCAGATGTTTAACAACTCCTTCATCTCCCTCACAGCTCATCAGTACTGACAGCATCTCCACTGACTCATGGAGCACAGAGTGAGTCTGTGGAAGCTCAAACTCTCTCCCTCACACATTCACCTTCTCTTTGTTATTCTGATCAATATTCAGTCATTAGCAAAAATGGAAAAATAATTTGAATGTATTTTTTCAAATTCAGAAAATGATAAATACAAACAGATGAAGTTCAGTCAGTGAACTGACCTGAGAGCCTCCAGTCTGCAGTTTGGACTCTTTAGTCCAGAACTCAGCAGCTCCACTCCTGAATCCTTCAGAGTGCTGCCACTCAGGTCCAGATCTCTCAGATGGGAGGGGTCAGACTTCAGAGCTGAGGCCACGACTTCACAGTGAGTCTCTGAGAGTCCACAGCTAGTAAGTCTATAATAACACATATATTACAACATGTGTTCAAAAAGAGGAAACATAATGACCTCAAGCATTTGATGAAAAAAATATTTGACATATGTTCTGATTGAGATTTGCTGTTAGTCCATTTTATATATAATAATATATGATAATAGAGTGTAATGTGTTGTCAGTGTGATCTGATCACATGTGTGTGCTCCTGCTGTCACTGACTGTTACCAAAGAAACAGAAATTAAATAAATCACTTGACAATATTACAGATGTACATATTTAAATGTTAATTAATATTTAGATGTGAATGATGGATGTTTTGGCTTCTCTGAGCATCTGGAAATGTATTGTGCACACAAACACAGTTAACAAACCAATAAAGTTTCAATATTTTAAACTGAATACCATCAGATGTTCTCACTATATGAGTATTAAGACATAACTCTGGTATTGGTGGGATATGATATAGATCTTATTTTAAACTCTAACACATTGTGATAAAAACGTGTGTGTGTGTTTAATGATAAAGAAACTACTAGAAAGTAATAATAACTGATAACTGTAAGTCCTGCTGTGTGGTGTGATCACATGCTGAGA